CACCCAAAAGCATTGGGGATATCCCATCTATCAGATAAAATCCAAAAAGCAGATGAGAAACCAGTCAGCAGTTTTGGAAAATTCAATAAGGGTACAGAGTTGAGTGCTTACACCAACAACGTCTCAACTCTTAGCATGTTTATTTGGTTGTAATGAAATTGACAAGACTGTTAATAGTAATTGTTGTGGTGAAAACATTACAATAAAATTAATAATTTTAAACAGTAACTAGCCTATTAAAAGTTTTCTAGAAAATAACAAAATAGTATAGTAGTATTTAATTTACATAATATGTGTATATATAACATAGGCAATGGGAACAAGACACTTTTTACAATTCTAAAACTTATCAGTCTTAATATCATTCTTTAGATAAGATAACTAATAATGCACACAGAACTTAAAATAGGCCTTAGCAGTAACTTGCACAACTAAACTATGACCTATTTAGTTTTGTAGTCAATACTCCTATATATATGTGGTATTCTTAGGTAAAACTGGGGAACCCAAGAGCGACAAAACAAGTCCTGTAAAAAAATAGGGGTTTAGTAAGGAAATGTATTGCAAAGTAAATTCAAATTCACTGAACCTGATTAAGTTTATGAAAGAAAGTGACTGGACATAATGTAATAATACATTGAAACAATCTTTATTTCAAAACACAGTCAAACAATATGCGTATTTTAGGTGAAAGGTAACACCTTTACTGAAGAGATCTCTTTGTCAGACTGTTGAAGTAGCTTAAGATGCTTTTCCAAACTAAGAAAATATAGCATTATATACATCAAACACCAATGCTATATTCTCTCAGGGCAATTACCCACGAGACTGGGTAATTGGAATGGAAGTTGTAACCTTGACACATCACCTGGCCTGCCAGTAGAAAAGGTTGTTGTTTACTTTCACACATAGTATGTGCAATTTTGAAAGACAAAGGTGATACCTTGGGAGAATGACACAGTACAAGAGGTATCTAGAGTGAAAGGGACTTAGTAAATTTATTGAATGATGTGCTATGTGAAAATTGCATATACATGAAGAAATTAAAATTTTGAAAATTTTTATATTAACACAATTCTGGTGACAAACACATGGTATGGCTTCATTCCACACTTTTCCTCCCACCTTTATTTACAAGATGCCTTGGCCATCCTCAACTTTAGAATTTAAAACCAATAGAACTGTATATTGGTCAAAAAATTGACATAATCTTCTCTCATCCATGTAAAATACTTACACAGTGACCCTTTAACAGAGAATTCAAATTAACAGTTGCATACAAATAATATCCTTTATCGAAGAAAGTGACACATTAGGCTCTTTAACAATGAAAATTACATGATACATAATAATTACCCTTTAACATTGATTGGTGAGAAGTAGTTACATCAGAGATACTCTTTAATATTTATTCATAAGTAAGTTGACCCTTGAAAAGACTTCAGCTCTGGGAAGGTTTTCTTTGGTTTAGGTAAGTAGTATTATGCACACCTCTTCCTGACAGTTTCATAGTTGGGCACCCTCTGAAGAGGCACTAAAAGAATTCAGTCTGGTGTTTAACAGGTAACTTGCATAATTACTGTTTCGCAGAAGTTGGTGTTGCTATCTACAATTGAAGTGATTGTAGGCTTTCTAACCGGCATGGCAAAAGTGGAGGTGATTTCTCCACAGCTGGTGCAACCAATGACTGTCTGGGTTCATGTGGTTGATTGACATCCAGTAGAGGCTACTTGGCCTTGTAAGACTTCAGCATCAACTTAACAAGGTCCCTATGTGTCTGATGCTTGACCAGTAGTGCATTCTCATCCATGGGTTCTAGTGGTTTGAAAGTCAAACTTGTTTCAGGAATCTTTGGGTTAGACATGAAGTCTTGGTCCTTTCCAAACAGGAAATCTTGGGTGTACTAGCTCTCAATGGCAGCTAATAAAAAAATGGTGAGGTTTAAACAAGTACAAAGAATTGAGCATCACTGGCTAGTTAAAGAACAGGATAGCCAGAAGGTTTAAAAATTTGATGTTAAACAGCAAAAATAAGTTTAGAAAATATGAGGTCAAATGAATTTTGACCAGAAGTTCAGCCAGATATTCAAGTTTTAAATGCTGTGGCTGCCCATTTAAAACAATGTTTTATTCTAAATTTGCAATTAAAGACAGTGTTAGAAAATATTACCTTAATCAAGTGTCATTTCTATGGTTTATGTGCTCACATGTATATTGCTATATTGCATGTAAAATATGTATCACTTGCACCTGTAGATGTTTCAGTCCCCCAGACTTCACTAGATCTCCATTTGACAAACTCACTGCTGTGCTGCCTGCTGTTGCAGTTGCTATGACAACAACTAACACAGCTTACACTCTGACCCATTTACAATCCATTCTCTAGTGTCTGGTTGTTATGTAAACAGAGTTGAGGTTCAGGAGGATAGAAATGGGCTAAAGACCACAGACACTGGCTCCTACACAAGATAGTTGAGTCAGGCTAGCCACTGTACAAGCACCAGCCTCTAAAATCTTACCATGAGAATCTATTAACATTCACATCACTTCAACCTTAGGATTACTCAGATACAAGTTTAGTACTAGCCAGGTGCAGTGATTTCATACAAGTGTTACTTTCTGCCTCCAGCTGTACACTCACAGCCCTTAATTTCATGCATTTCAACTGCTCCTTGTACTGAAATAATGTTAAACAAATATTCAGTAAAACTATGTTTCTGAAATATTTATGTTTACATGATTGCAAATATTCTGTCATAACCCAGTAAAACACTGGGTACACCAAGTTCATGTTTGATATTTCATCTAAGCTAGTGTCTTTGCATTTCACTTGCTATAGATAATTTCACCTCTCGTGAATACTTCGATTCAATGCAGTTGACACACCTTGCACTACTATTACAAGAGCACCAGGTCAAACTGCGTTTTCTCTCAAATTCAGAGTGAAGCTCTTCATTACTCTTATCTTTCTACAAAAAATCACTACCTGCCAAACATTTCAATGTCAAAATTCAAAAATTCTCTCATTACCATTAATGGTACACTGCATCTTTAAATAATTCTCTCTAAG